GGGGGGGGGGGGGGGGGGGGGGGGGGCGGGGGGGGGGGGGGGGGGGGTCTGTTGTCAGCAGCGTTTGCCTGGGCACCTTGTCAGAGCCCCCCACTCGCCCCCTCTTGCGCTTCACATGCCCCGCCGGCGCTGCTGCACTCTCCCCAGGGGTTGCCCCCAGCCTGCAATGGGCAGAAACCGTCAGGACTTTGCTTCCCGTGTAGCTCGGGGCACCTTCCCCTGTGGCGCTCACAGCAGAGGCTGCAGCCAGGCCTTGGGCTTGTCGTGGCGAAGGGGCTGGAGTTGCCGGGACCCGGACCTGTGAGCCTGACTGGTGCCAGGCAGGAAGGAGGCCAGGGTTGTCGCGTGAGTCCTGCCAGGTGAGCTGTCGCACTTCACCCTTGTTCTGTGGCAGCGAAGCGCCATTCCCTTGGGCATGGCGCGGCCCAAGAGCAGGGTCGAGGCTGTCTTCTTCCTGACGCCTCGCGCTGGGGCTGGAGCCGCTGTGGCGTTAAATCACGGTTTGCCCCGTGTCCTCGCCTGCCTCCATGCCCGCATGGCGCGCTGCGTGCTGGCTGAATCTGGGCGGTGGCCGGACAGTGCCTGTGCCCTGTCCGAGGTGCCGTCTGGGCTGAACAGCTCTCTGTTGGGTATTATTCGCATAATTAGGGCAGCTAGCACTTTGTTTGCTCCTGTCTGCAGCTTTTGTGCTTGGTTCATGGCTCTTGTCCATGTGGCGTGACTGCCAACGTGACGATTGAAGCATCTCTCCAAGGGACGCATCTCTGCGGAGGCCCTGCCGGGGGGCCCTCTTCCAGAGGACACGATGAAAATCCTAGTGGCTAAAGTCCTTTGTCTGCTGGGCGTCTTCGTCCTCATGCTGCTTGGGTCCCTGCTGCCTGTCAAGCTGATTGAGGCAGACTACGAGAAAGCTCACCGTTCCAGAAAGGTCCTTGCCCTCTGCAACTCTTTCGGAGGAGGGGTCTTCCTGGCCACCTGCTTCAATGCCCTGCTCCCAGCAGTCCGGGAAAAGGTAAACTGTGTGCGCATTTAGGGGGGTTGTATTGAAGCTTAAATGCCCCCTTGCAGTCAGTATCGGGAGTGCATGTTGTGTGGAAACCTCCCTCTCACCCTGGACTGACCAGATTTTGGTCTGCCTAGCAAAAGCCCTGACCTCCTCCACCTGAGCTCAAGGAATAGCTGGTAGTAGTAGTAGTAGGCTTTTTTCCTCTTGTATCAAGAGGGACAGATGCATACACACTGTGCCAAAGGTTTATACCTCCATGTAATGTTTAGAGGCTTGTAAACTCTGTGAAGCTCCTTGAAGTCATGTAGAAGCTTCATGTTACTGCTGGATGAATGGTGGGGCAGCTTCACTGTAGAGGGTTTGATAGTGAAATGCTTGGCAGTGTAAGGAGAATTCCCTCTGGTGCTCGGTGAATGACGTAGCTACATTCACACTGGTTTTCCTTCCTTTGCTCCAGCTTCAAGAAGTCCTCAAGCTAGGGAACGTGATAACAGACTACCCCCTGGCCGAGACTATCATGCTGGTGGGGTTCTTCATGACGGTCTTTGTAGAGCAGCTCATCCTGACCTTCCAGAAGGAGAAGCCCTCCTTTATCGACCTGGAGACCTTCAACGCCGGCTCAGATGTCGGGAGTGATTCTGAGTACGAGAGCCCCTTCATCGCCACCTCCCATGGGCGCACACTGTACAATGAGCACAGCCACCACTCCCACAGCCACAGCCTGAACATCCGGGAGCTCTCCCGCTCCAGCCCCCTGCGGCTCTTCAGCCTGGTGTTTGCCCTGTCAGCCCACTCCATCTTTGAGGGCCTGGCCCTGGGCCTGCAGGAGGAAGGGGACAAGGTCATGAGTCTCTTTCTGGGGGTGGCCATCCACGAGACACTGGTGGCCGTAGCGCTGGGCATCAGCATGGCCAAGACCTCACTGGCACTGAAGGATGCCGCCAAGCTGGCTGTGACAGTCAGTCTGATGATTCCCTTGGGCATTGGCATTGGCATGGGCATCGAGAGCGCCCGCAATGTGGCCAGCAGCGTAGCTTCTGTGGTGCTTCAGGGCATTGCAGGGGGGACCTTCTTATTTGTCACATTCTTCGAGATCCTGGGGAAGGAGCTGGAGGACAAGAACGACCGCCTGCTGAAGGTCCTCTTCCTGGTGCTGGGCTATGCCGTCCTGGCCGGGCTTGTTTTCTTCAAGTGGTGAGGGCAGAGAGGAGACCCCAGCTCCTTCCCCTCGTAAACGGTGCTGATAGCCAGCCCCCTTTCCAGCCAGGCGGGGACGCGGATGCCAGCGCCAGGGTGAAGCATCCGCATCCAGATGGTGGCAACACATTGACCTGAAGAGAGAATGGTTCCCCCAGGGTCAAGGGAGAAGAATCACACAAGGTTTCATGCGACTGTCCCCACATGCTGTATTAGTGGGGTGGGGAGAGGCTTGTACAGAGGCTACTGAAAATAATATTTGTAATAGTGAGTAGGGCCTTAAATGCTGCTTCCGAAGGGATCTCAGCAACTGTTTGGCA